CAATTTCTGGAAATATTTTTGATTGTCATGACTTAGACAGGGTAAGAGGTGTTACAGGCATCTATTGGGTAGATGCCAAGGATGCTGCATAACATTTTACAATGCACAGGACCATCCTCTACAACAAGCAATTGTCTGCTCCAAAATGGCAATAGTGCTGAGAATAAGAAACCTTCATTAGTATAAAGTTGAGATTCATTCATATTTTTGTAGTGTCAGTAAGTTTTTCTTTTTAATAGATGAGTAGTATTTCATTATATGAGTATACAACAATTTATCCACCAGCCGATACATATGTGTTTTTGTTTTTTTCTACTTTTAGACTATTATGAACAAAGTTGCTATGAACATTCACATTTAGGTTTTCGTGGACCTAAGCTTGCATTTCCTTTGCATAAATATCTAAGAGAATTTTTACTTGGTTGTATGGTAATTGTATATTTTACTTTATGTAAATTGTCAAGCTGTTTTCCAAAATGGTTGTACCATGTTGTGTTTCTGACAAAAATATGAGAGCTTTCATTGCATTCTTGATACAAATATTTTCTTCTAGTCAGTAACATTGTTTTTCATTTACTGAACAGTATCATTTAAAGAGCAGAAGTTTTAAATTTTGATTTAGCCCAAGTTATCAAATTTTTAATTGTTTTCTTTTCTTTTTGTCTCTTAGAAATTTTTACCTAACTTTAGGCCACAAAGACTTTCCTCTATAGTTTATTCTAGGACTTTTATAGTTTATGTCTTAAATTTAGGTCCATATTCATTTGAAATTAATTTTTATATAAGGTATAGGATAAGAATTGTCCTTATTTATATAAGTATTGAGATTACATATATATTTATGTTTGCATATAAATATCTAATAATTCTAACACCATTTGTTGAAAAGGCAATTCTTTCCCGCTGAGTTATTTTGACAACATATATATATTTTTTGGACCCTTCATTCTATTCCATTCATCTACTTGTATACACTTAGGCAAATATAACACTATGTTGATTACTACTGCTTTATGTTAAGGGCTGAAAACAGCATAAGTCTAACAAATTTTTTCTTCTAACAAATTTCTTTGGTGATTTTATTCTCTTTGCAATTCCTTATAAATTTTGGATTTAAAAAATTTGTTTATTTCTACAAAAATCTTGCTGAGATATTGATTAGCATGATGTTTAATGCATAGAACAACTAGGAGGTAATTGCCATTGTAACAATATTGTATCTTTCTATCCATGAACATAGTCTCTCTTTCTCTCTCTCTTTCTGTATCACTGTCTCTGTCTCTTAATGTCTTTTTGTATTTATTCTATTTATTCTGGGACCCAGGAGATGGAAAATAACAATGCTGGAGCATATGATACTTCTGTTTATATTACAATGAACAAAGTAAGTCATGCATCCAAGTCTCTGGCAAATGAAGTGAGAGTTATACTCCTCCACAGCACAGGAAGGTCCCTGAAGGGGTGGACCATTTAAAAAAAGTAGCCAATTTTGATTTTTAAAAATGCAGTGCACAACACAGATTTCTACCAGATAATAGTCATATTGATAGTATTCAATAAATAAAAATATTCATAATGGGCCGGGCGCGGTGGCTCAAGCCTGTAATCCTAGCACTCTGGGAGGCCGAGGCGGGCGGATTGCTCGAGGTCAGGAGTTCGAAACCAGCCTGAGCAAGAGCAAGACCCCGTCTCTACTATAAATAGAAAGAAATTAATTGGCCAACTAATATATATATATATATATAAAATTAGCCGGACATGGTGGCGCATGCCTGTAGTCCCAGCTACTCGGGAGGCTGAGGCAGAAGGATTGCTTGAGCCCAGGAGTTTGAGGTTGCTGTGAGCTAGGCTGACGCCACGGCACTCACTCTAGCCTGTGCAACAAAGTGAGACTCTGTCTCAAAAAAAAAAAAATATTCATAATGAAAGTTACTTAGAAATATCATTTTATTAATCATAATCACATTCACATTGCTGGTATCTTAGTCAAAGTTATCACCTTATGTCTATTAGATTTAATAATACCCTGCCTTAAATTTCCCTCTTCTCTGAACTGGCTAAATAAATCCTTATGTTACTGAAAGTTTAGTACTTGTCCCCAAGGCTGAATGAAGAATGAGGACAAGGTGTGAAAAAAGAAAAGAAAAGTTTATTAATTTGCCATCAAATGAGGAGGATGGCAGACTCTCATCTTAAAGAACCATCATCTCCCCTTTAAGCAGAAATACAGGTCTCAGGGGGGTTTTTGGCTTTAGGCTATTGCTGTTTAACTATAGTTGGTGGTTTTCGTCCACCTTGTTGCCAGTAAAGATGATCTTATGATCTTTGTCCAGATAATGCTATTGAGCTATCTCCTGTGGTTTAAGATACTAGAAAACAAAGAACAAAGAACATTTTTCTGCTTCTTTGATTATTGGCCTTGGGCAAGAATGCAGGTTTTAATTCCCAAAAATGGTGAGGAGTTTTAAAGAGACAATTTGTAAAACATTTTGCTCTTTTTCATACCTTTGCCTCTATTACACTTAAAAAGTACTATTGTCAAATCATCACAACTCTGACTACAATCTTACAATGGCCGCTTGTCATCTTTTATATTAAGTTAACTGTTCTAGAGTGGCATTCTTTTCTTCCAAACTGCTAAGTATCTTGCTCCACTGCAAATAAGTTGCACTGTTTGTGTCCCACAAGCATTCTTTTTCTTCTGTCAATCAAAATTTTAATTTTCATTATAGGCTAATTTCATGATGTATCTCTTGCAAGAACATGTTCTTGATTGGTTCAGCACATGATAATTTGTCTTTTAACTAAAGTCCAGTTCACCCATGATCTCTGAAAATCAGTCAAACTCTAGATTTATTTGTTTGCATTTTCACCAATTGCTTTATTTATAGGTGTTCAATATCTCCAAAGAACTTGCAACTTTGAAGCAGAGGTTGTCATTGAACCAAACTGGATTCCACTCACCCAGTGACATAAGGCCAGGCACTGGAGGCTACAGCTGCAGCAGCAGAAAGAAGCATTTTTATTTTCAGGGTGCCATGCAAGGAGAACAAGCAGCAAATACTTAAAACTTGAACTCCCCCATGTCTTACAAGTTTGGTTTCTTTAAAGGCAGGGATGCACTTCAGGCAGGCCCCTCCCCAAAAGGCAGGATATCCTGAAGTAGGTGTGGCACAGGTGAATTCAGAGCAGAAAGGAATGTTAAGATGGATGTGACAGGCCCCACATGGGGACATTTAGAACAAAGAATGTCAATAAGAGTTCAAGTTCTCAATTTCCCCTTAGCTGCATTTTCCATCCATGGGGGTTTCTAAAAAACAACCCAAGAACATGTTAAGATGCCATCTATCAGCTTCCATAGGGAAGAAAAACACCTCCTATGTCTGGCTTGGAGTGCCATTGTTCTCATTAGTTTGCCCATTCACTTTTAAAGGCAAGACAGGTGTCCTGAAACTCCCCCTGAAGGAACTCATAATTTTCCTTTATTTTCATGCTTGGGGGTCTGGGAGGCCCCTCAGAGGGGGTCTCTGCTTGGTCTACAGTTGAGTGTTTTGGATTTTGTTCTCTACTGCCTCTAGTACAGGGTTAGAGAACCAAGGGTGCTTATTAAAATTAGTTGACAAGACTATTTCCTGTTGCCTTTTGAAATGATTACTTTCTCAACTTCTATTCCCTGAATCTCTCAAGTCCATGTGAAAACAATCATTGTGGGTTCTCATAAGATTTTTGAAATATCTTTCCTTTGTGAACTCAATAATACCATCTTTGTTGTTTAATAAATCCCATTGCAAGATGATTTCTTGGTCAATTCCCAAGTGCCTACAACCATGTTATCTACAGCTGCTAAACAACTAATGATTTAACTAGATCATTTATTTATATTTAAATTGACCTATACTTTCTGTCAGAAAACTACTTAGCACTCTTAATAATCCAAAGCTCAAATTCTTCCATAGATCTGGTAAGTAAAGATGTTTTACAAATGATTCCTACAGAAAGATTTGAAATGTTTTCCCTCCCTACTCCCACTCCCATTTCCTAACCCCTATTCCATGGATCCAAGAACAGTACAATAGTTTGCCTATGTTAACAATGAAAAAGATGTTAGGATGAAAGAGATTGATGTTTGAGTGCCTTCCCATAAAAGTGATGTGATTTGTTATTTAGGATATAGGGTAAAATTTTAAATTGTAGAATTACAAATAGTTGTAGGAGAAACCGACTCATATTTTAATGAAACAAATTATGACCAAAAAAAGTTAAATGGCTTTCCTTTGGCTATATGACTATATTGTAGTAAATTTAATAATAAACCAGCCTTCTTCACTGTATGAATATATGCAAAACTAATTTCCTATGTGTTTCTTCTGGGTCTCAGATAGAAAACTTTTATCTGTGAATATGCTAACAGTTCTCTGGAAATTTACAAGAGTTCTACAACTCTTCATTTTAACATCACTATAATGTTGTTTAAGAACCTTAAATGTGATATAAGAGCTTTATATATAATATAATTTATATATGTTTTTTCAGTAAGGATATATTTATGGGTGAATTATAAATAACTAAACAGGTGTGTGTGTGTGTGTACGTGTGTGTATATATGTGTGTTTAACACATTGTCAACATAAAGTGCTTACTAAATATTAACTATTATCTTTATGATTATATAGATGAATGGATGGACAAATAGGTAGGTAGGGAGGTCTCTTCAGAATAATATTATCTCAGTTAGATTCCCATATAAAACCAGCAAAGAAAGTGTTATTTTTCAATACCTGTGATTTAAGAAGTATTTTGTCATAATCTCTAATATTCTATAATTTCCTTTATATACCAAATGAGAAGAATGAAAAGAATAGTTAATTTTCATAGAGAAAAAAGTCTATGAAAGTAGATTCTTGGAAATAAAGCCCTTGCTTCAACTGAATCATACTTTCCCCCCTTAATGATTCTTCTTATCATTTTTTGATACAGGCTTCTACCTTGGAATCAAGACAATGGATGTGGCCAATAAGTCTACTGTATCTGAATTTGTTTTGCTGGGGCTTTCTAATTCCTGGGAACTACAGATATTTTTCTTTATGGTGTTTTCATTGTTTTATGTGGCAACAATGGTGGGTAATAGCCTCATAGTAATCACAGTTATAGTTGACTCTCACCTACATTCTCCTATGTATTTTCTGCTCACCAACCTTTCCATCATTGATATGTCTCTTGCTTCCTTTGCCACCCCCAAGATGATTACAGACTACCTAACTGGTCACAAAACCATCTCTTTCAATGGCTGCATTACCCAGATATTCTTTCTGCACCTTTTCACTGGCACTGAGATTATCTTACTCATGGCTATGTCTTTTGATAGGTATATTGCAATATGCAAGCCCCTACGCTATGCTTCAATCATTAGTCCACGGGTGTGTGTTGCACTTGTGGTGGCTTCCTGGATTGTGGGAATTATGCATTCAATGAGCCAGGTCATATTTGCCCTCACGTTGCCATTCTGTGGTCCCAATAAAGTGGACAGCTTTTTCTGTGACCTTCCTGTGGTGTTCCAGCTGGCTTGTGTGGACACTTACGTTCTGGGCCTCTTTATGATCTCAACAAGTGGCATAATTGCTTTGTCCTGCTTTATTCTTTTATTCAATTCTTATGTTATTGTCCTGGTGACTATCAAGCATCATTCCAGAGGATCATCAAAGGCCCTTTCTACATGTACAGCTCACTTCATTGTTGTCTTCCTGTTCTTTGGACCATGCATCTTCATCTACATGTGGCCACTAAGCAGCTTTCTAGTCGACAAGATACTGTCTGTGTTTTATACCATCTTCACTCCCATTCTGAACCCAGCAATCTATACCTTGAGGAATCAAGAAGTAAAGACAGCCATGAAGAAACTGAAGAATAGGTTTCTAAATGTTAACAAGGCAACCCCTTCTCATCATTTTTAGTTTTAACTTCTAGTTCTAGTTAGCTTCTAGTTTTAACTTCCTAGGCATTAAGTATCACAGTTTTTGTGATGCAGCATTGATCACAGTGCTGTGCTAAGCTCTGATTTGTGGAGTTATTATCAAATTGTGATTTCCAACAATTGGTGAGAACATGGGTAGGTGCATTTTAATATTATTCTCATGAATGTGCTCAAAATATATTAATATTTGAAATTTCAGAAAAGCAATTTAATGAAAATGATTTTTTCCAGAAACAAAGACTATCTATACAAATATAAGGAGTGATTGTTAAGACATTTAATAATAGTAATCAATTCATTGGAAAATAGGAACAAAGAATAATAGAAAATATAGATTAAAGGAGAACTAGGAGATGATGACAATTAGTTAGCAACTGAGTTACTCAGTGAGTTGCGTCTAAAATACGACAAATTAGTAAGATCTCCATAATACTTAGGAATTTTTATACTGCTGTAGGAGTTTAGCCTCTGACAGAAAAGCAATGATTTTCTATTAATACATACTTCCCAGAGCCACTCCTACTTAACATTTAAACCAATTCATGGTCTCTTCTAGTAAAGAAAATCCTGGATATATTTTATTAAAAATTTGAACGAGGTCCAAGAAAATCCTATAAGTGTCAGAATCTCCACAAATCAGTTTTAGCTCATTAGTAGAGCAATACAGCCATGATACTGCTTTTGATAAAGCAGAATAAGTACAGAGGCTGGAGAATTTTGCACATCAGAAAATATTATGAAATGAGTTGCAAAACAGTATACTTTGTTTCATGCAGACACCACGGTAGCTTAATTCCTGGGAGGTTAAGACTAGAATTAAGAGATACATCTTATGATAAATGAATTTATGGAGTTGATTAAATTTACTTTTTTCTTTAAATATTTAGGTGTAAAAATAAGAAATTTGTGCTTAGCAATACACTCTCAATGAAGTAAGCATGTTTTTGTACACAAATAGGTTTTGTTACTGTTATAAATAAGAATTCTAAGTTCAGTATTAGCTTTAATGTCCTTAAAGTATCACTACCACCTGCTGATAGACACTGGAATTGTAAGTATTAAAAGTCATGAGAAATAATTCTTTTGGGTACCTTGTTTGCAAATCATCTTGTTTAAATATTGGCATACATTAATGAATTAACTGTTATTTAGAATTTACTAAATGATATTGATGAAATATCTTCTCTCCCAAAGGAAAAGATATGTTGTAATGACAGTATTTAATAAATATCAAACTGTTATCTTCTGGCATGATTGGGTAAATGGAGAAAACAAAGAATTATATATGTATTAATTATCATTCATGAGAGATAATTAAGAAAAGAAAATTCCTAACTTTTCATTTTAAGTCAGACCATAAGAGGAATGTATTTTTTCTTCATCAGTGTGTTTTTTCTTCATTAATGTATTAAAAAATAAGAAAACAAAATTTACAAGTATAAAGGTATGTAATATTGTCTTTAAAACTTGTGTTGTTTTAAAATTATTGAATAAAAATATCTATAGTATTAATGTGAAAATAATATAATACATGTTTATATCAACAAAATGATAGCATAATTCTATTTTAAATAGTTATACATATTGGGCCAATTTAGATTGCGTGTGTGAACTTTCTCTTGATTGCAGTTATATGTGCAAATATGTTTGGATTCAAGGACCTTATTTATATAAAACATTTTAGTTAGTATTTTAGAAATATCCCAAATAATTCTTTTACTTAACATATTTATTTGTCTAGGGAATATTTTCAAAATTAAGCCTGTTTTGCAGTATAATACTGTGAAGTATTCTGGAAGGGATGCTGTCCATCTTCAGTGCTATTGTGGAGAATTCTAGAATTCAATAACATTTGCCAAAAAACCCTCATTGATGTAACTCATTTGCAGACAACTCTATAAGGCTAGTCAACAATGAGATTGAATAGTTGGATTGATAGGAAATCTCTGTAGCTGAGAATGAAAGGGACTACAGAATGCCTTTAGAGTACTTCCATGTATAAAGGGAATAACCTACCAATTCCTCTTGTAGCTCATCATGAGGAGTCAACATTCAAGATATCTCTGCGTGTCATAGAAACACTTAAAAATCTCAGGACTTACGATGAATGGTTTTATCACCATATTTCCTCCACAGCTGCTGACACTCTTTGACCAAGGGTGAGTGTGTGACATGGCCACAGACTCATTCATAAGCAGCAGTCAGGATGGTACCATTTGCCACCACGGTAGGCAGAGTCAGAAATGACATTTTGCAAAGCATGCTACATTAGCAGAAACCAGTTAATATAACCATAACAGGTCGAGGGTAGTTTTAAATGTTCTGCACTATTCTAATAACAGAATTGAAGGAGTGTGGAGATATGGAAGATTTATAAGAAGAGCACGTTGATAAGCAACTTCATCTTTCTTTGGGTGTTTGGGGAACCATGAAGCTTGGCAATACCAAACCTATGAGTTTTTAAAATTATAAAAAGCCAATTGTAGAAAGTCATGTAAAATTAAGCAGAATAATTGAATGCGGGCAAAAAAAAGCTATTTAAAAATCAGGTATATATAAAATGTAAATTTTAATATGCGAAGGAATTGGATATATGTAATGGCCATAAAAACTGTAAATTATGTTCGCTTCTAAAAATGTTTAAGGAAAATTTCAGAATACTATAATATATAGTTTAACGGTGGATTTATCACAAAGCTAGGAAAGCTTTAGGCTTAGAACTCCTCCCTTGCATGGGTTTCCTCCAAGATCTTGTAATGGGCCTAAACAAACTTTTATTAATAATTTGGATTTTGTTTTTGTTCTTAAAGAGGTCCCATCAGATTGAGTCTTAGGCTCCACAGAACCTAGGCCCACCTTGAGTGTAGGGATAAAAGTCTTAGATTGTGGTATCTTTTTATCTGTGTTTGATGTTAGTGGTGTAAACTTGGGCAAGATACTTAACATCTGTTAGCCTTAGTTTCTACATCTGAGATTATAATGCAACATACATCATGGAGTTGTTTGAGGGATAGAGGATGTAAATCATATAAAGCATATAGTTGTCATCAATAAATATTAATCATTATATCATTCTAGGTGATCAACTCTGAATATCTTTGTTTAAGAGCTTGATATGCTCTTGAGCTAAGAGTTGCATTGTTTAATTTGAAGGTACATTTTTATTTTATATGTTTTAAATATCCATGTCTAGATATGTGTGTATAAAATTAATGTGTATCAGGATTAATTTGGAAAATTAACAGTGGCTTCTGCTAGAAAAATTACATGGGTTTTTACATTAATTCAAACTTCTGGAAACATGTTTTCCTCTCTGCTTGCAACTTTTATTAATGAAGAGAAAATTTAAATTTTGTTTAATCATTATGCTATTGCTTTATTACAAGGAATAAGTATTAAATTCATTAATTGATTTTAGGATGGATTTTCAGTACAGTTTGTGTCAGAATAAGCATGGTCATGTTGGACCCTCATATCAATAAGGTGAAGAGATAGATAGATGGGACAGATTAGTAGATGGACAAAGTTTTGTATGATATGAACTCTTATGTGAAGTATTTTTCTACATTAAGAAGGGCTAAGGATGATGTGATCCCTGGAATCTGTTGCCAAATGGAAGAAGTTCTTGATAAGATGCTACTATTTGATCATATTCAGACTCTTTTTTCCCCCCAAATTTCTTCTTCATTTATTCTATCAAAGTATAGTTTTCTTTTTTTGTTTCTAATACTCAACTAATTTGGATTTGTGAGATACCTACCTTGGCCATAGGTATCTCTCTTTTTTTTTTTTCATTTAAAAATATTTAGGAGGCAAAAGTGTTTTTGGTTACGTGGGTGAATTGTATCATGTTGAAGTCATGGCTTTCAGTGTATCCATTACCAGAATAGTGTACATTGTACATAATAGGTAGATCTTTATCCTTCACCTCTTTCCCACTCTCTCTCCTTCTTAGTTTCAAGTGTCCATTAGAAGTCTTTATGGCTATATATATCCTTCATTTAGATACCATTTATGAGTGAGAGCATGTGGTATCTGTTTTTCCATTTCTGAGATACTTCACTTAGGATAATGGCCTCCAGTTCCACTCAAGTTGCTGCTCAAGACATTATTTCACTGCTTTTTATGGCTTAGTAATACTCCATGGTGTATTACTATATCTGTACTTATGTCTAAACACCACATTTTCTTTATGCATTTATCAGTCAACTTAGGTTGCTTTTATATCTTTGCAATTGTCAATTGTGCTGTGATAAACATTCGGGTGTTTCTTGTTTTCTTTTGTTTTGTTTTTTTAATAAAATAGCTTCTTTTCCTTTGGGTGGATACCCAGTAGTGGGATTGCTTGGTAGAATGGTAAGTCTACTTGCAGTTCTTTGAGAACTCCATACTCCATACTGCAGAACTCCATACTGCTTTCCATAGTGGTTGTACAAGTTCACATTTCCACCAACAGTGTGTAAACATTCCCTTTTCATTGCAGCCATGCCAACATTTATTGCTTTTGCCTTTTAAATCATGATGATTCTGACAATGGTATTTCATTGTGGTTTTAATTTGCATTTCCCTGAGATTAGTGATGTTGAACATTTTTTCATATTTTTGTTGGCCATTTGTCTATCTTATACAAGTTTTTCAAACTCTAAAAAAAAAAAAATACTAGTGACTCCCTTTCAGTTAAAGCAAAGTTGATGAGAGAGACAGCTGGAGTAACCCTTTTCTCTCCCTATTTCTTCCCTGACACTATGTTGCATGATGATTTTTGGATGTATGTACTCAGATTGAAAAACAGAGAGATGAAAACAGCTATGGAAATCTGATTCATGTGAACAGCTTACATGTATTCTCAGGCTTCAGTGAAACCCATGATGCAATATGATGGTCCTTCAGTTTATACACTTCTTTTATGAAGATTACTTTTCTAATGAACATAGTAGTTTTTGGTTGTGAACTATTTTTAATGTTCTTGATTACAACTGT